TAATAGGAAACAGCAGCAGAGAAGCAGCAGTAACAAGGCAGTAATAGAAGTAGTAACAATAGCAGCAGCAGCAGGGTAGTAATGGTAGTAGTAGTAGCAGCAGCAGTAGCAGTAATAGTAGTAGTAGTAGTAGTAGTAGTAGTGGTGGTGGTGGTGGTGGTAGTAATTTAGATAGTGCATTCAAATTTGCCAAGTGCTTCACCTTCGTTACTTCCTTTGAACCTTATAACAACCCCTGGAAGTATGTGCTAAAAGTATTGTCAGTTCCACCATCTTGATTATCATTAGCTGAGAGGTATAAAAGTGCACATGGAAGGAAAATTCAGGTAAATCAATCTCTTAATGCAGTTTGGAAATCCTATTCCTATAATCTAGCAGTAATCAATAAACATTTATTAAGCACCTGAAAAAAAAAAGAGTTAATAGAGAATGCAGGTGAGTGGACCTGATCCCAAAATAGAAGGGGTTGTCTTAGGGAGGTAGTGGAATATCCCTAGTAGAGAGGGATTTGGCCAAAAATTTGGGTGTTATCAGATGTGTCATAGTGGGGAATTCTTATTTAGGTTGGACTGGCTGCCTCTGAGGTCCCTTTTCAATTTGAAATTTATGATGCTTATAACAACTCTGTGATGGAATGTACACTACTTAGGTCAAAAACTATTTCACGTTTGTTTTTGTATTCCCAGCACCTAGAACAATGCCCAGAACATAGTGGGCACTTAATAGCTGATTGATTGGCTGGCTGAAATAAGTAGGACAGGAATTATTATCTCCTTTTACAAAGGAGAAAGCTCAGGTTCAGAAGGGTCCCATTCATAGCCACTGGTAGCCCTCAGTTAACTCTGGGAAGGGTGAGGCTTGTCCTCAATAAGAATCAGGGAGATGAGAGTTCCTGGAAGAGGTTGGGAGGGGTGGTGGTGGTGTCTTCAGTGGTCCAGCTGAAATTAGACAAAGCCTTCACTGAAGTATTCAAGCCCATAGTAAACTCTTCTTTCCTGGTGTCTCATAAAGTGCTCACTCAGAGGGAGACAGGTTAAAATCTCATTTCGAGGGGCAGCTAGGTGGCACAGTGGATAGAGCATGGCTCTGGAGTCTGGAAGACCTGAGTTCAAATCTGGCCTCAGACACTTGATACTTAGTAGCTGTGTGACCCTGCCACTTAATCCCATTACCTAGCCGGGGAAAAAAAAATCTCACCTCTAACACAACAGGAGATGAGGAGTGGGTCACTTACCTGCTCTGATCTTGTTTCCCCAGATGTAAAATGGGGATAATAGCTGTAGGACATACCTCCTGGGTTGTGAGAAGCCAATGAGCTCTATGCTGTGAGCTATGAGCTCAATATGCTAAAGCTCTTGGAGTTACTGTTAGTATACTTTTTAGCTTCTGCCTGAGTATCTAGCACACTGCCAGGTATGTATAGGCATTCAAATACTCAAAATTATTGAGTTAAATGGAAGACCAACATGTCCAGAATTGAATGCATCTTTCTCCCCTCTCTTTGCTTCCAAATTTCCCTCTTATAGTTACAGGTACCACCCTCCTCCCAGTCACCCAGGTTCATAACCTTTACTCTGTTTTTTTCTTTTTCTCTTTTTTTAAAAATTCTTAAATTTTATTTATTTATTTATTTATTTTTTAATATACATTTATTTATTTTTAGTTTTCAACATTCCCTTCTACAAGTTTTTGAGTTCCAACTTTTCACCCCATCTCCCCCCTCCCCCCACCCCAAGATGTCATGCATTCTGAATATCCCTTCCCCTACTCTGTCCTCTCTTCTATCTCTCTCCCCTTCTCTTATCCCCTTCCCCTTCTATTTTCCTGTAGGGCAGGATAGACTTCTGTACCATTTCCTACATTTACTTCCCAGTAGCATGTGAAAACATTGTGAAAAACTAACTCTATTTCCCTTAATCCTATCCTGCCCTCCCATTTATTCTATTCTTTCTTTTGACCCTGTCTCTCCTCAGAAGTATTTACTTCTGATTACCCCCTTTCCCAATCTGCCCTCCTCTCTATCATCCCCCTGCTCTCTTGTCCCCTTTCCCCCCTATTTTCCTGTAGGGTAAGACAGATTTCCATACCCAATTGAATGTGTATGTTATTCCCTCCTTAAGCCAAATCCTATGAGAATAAGATTCACTCATTCCCTCTCACCTTCCCTTGTTTCCCCTCCACTGTGAGAGACTTTTCTTTTCTGTTTTTTTTTGTGAGATAATTCTACCTCTCCCTTTCTTCTTCTCCGAGTATAATCCTCTCTCATCCCTTCATTTTATTCTCCAGATATGACCTCTTAATCTTCAGCTCACCCTGTGCCCTCTATCTATCTATCTACATATACATACATATAATTTTTTTCCTCTAACTACCCTGATACTGACAAAGGTCTCATGAGTTATAAATATCATCTTTCCATGCAGGAATGTAAACAGTTCAATCTTAATAAGTCTCTTATGATTTCTCTTTCCTGTTTATCTCTTCATATTCCACTTGAGTCCTGTATTTGAAAGTCAAATTTTCTATTCAGCTCTGGTCTTTTCATCAGGAATGTTTGAAAGTCCTCTATTTCACTGAATGACCATTTTCTCCCATGAAGGATTATACTCAGTTTTGCTGGGTAGGTGATTCTTGGTTGTAATCCTATCTCCTTTGCCCTCCGGAATATTATATTCCATGCCCTACGGTCCTTTAATGTAGAAGCTGCTAAATCCTGTGTTATCCTGATTGTGTTCCCACAGTACTTGAACTGTTTCCTTCTGGCAGCTTGTAATATTTTCTCCTTGACCTGGGAACTCTGGAATTTGGCTACAATATTCCTAGGAGTTTTCCTTTGGGGATCTCTTTCAGGAGGAGATCTGTGGATTCTTTCCATTTCTATTTTGCCCTCTGGTTCTACTATATCAGGGCAGTTGGTCCTTGATAATTTCTTGAAAGATGATGTCTAGGCTCTTTTTTTGATCATGGCTTTCAGATAGTCCAATAATTTTTAAATTCTCTCTCCTGGATCTATTTTCCAGGTCAGTTGTTTTTCCAATGAGATATTTCACGCTGTTTTCTAATTTTTCATTCTTTTGGATTTGTTCTACTGTGTCATGATTTCTCATAAAGTCACTATCTTCCAATTGCTCTATTCTAATTTTTAAGGAATATTTTCTTCAGTAAGCTTTTGGACTTCCTTTTCCATCTGGCCAATTTTGCTTTTTAGGGCATTTTTCTCCTCATTGGCTTTTTGGACCTCTTTTGCCATTTGCGTTAGGCTATTTTCTAAGGTGTTATTTTCTTCAGTATTTTTTTTGGGTCTCCTTTAGCATCACTCTCAGTTTTTCCTCTACTTCTCTAACTTGCTTCTCAAAATCCCTTTTGAGCTCTTCCATGGCCTGGGACTGATTCATATTTTTCTTGGAGGCTTTGGATGTAGGGGCTTTGACTTTGTTGTCTTCTTCTGGTTGTATATTTTGGTCTTCTGTTTCACCAAAGTAAGATAATATAGTCTGACTCTTTTTGCCCTGCTTGCTCATGATCCCGGCCAATTACGTGAGTTTTAAACTTTTTGTTAAGGTACGAATCTGCTTCCAATGTGGAGAATGTACTGTCCCAAGCTTGGGGGGGTTTGTACAGCTGTTTTCAGAGATACTTGTAGGGCCCTGTAAATTTTCTGTTCTTCCAGGGTGGTATGATAAGGGTCGAGGTGTTTACTTCTTTCCTGGCCTGCGACTACAAGTACTCCTTTCTGTCCTGTAACTGTGAGGAGGGGCTTCTCTCCACAATCACTACAAGCTCCACCAAGCCAGCGCTCCTCCTCACCCCAGCACCACGGCCCAGAACTGTGACCCAGATCCAAACACGGGCAAAGCAAGAGATTCCTGCCTCAGCACTGGCAAAGAGATCCCTGCAATCCCTCCCTGATCAGCCACTGGATTCCCCCTCAGTCTGTGGGCCGGAAGCTCGGGAAGCAGCTTCCCCCCCCCACCCAGCACCACGCTCTTAGGGAATGGAGCTGAGACTCCGCCTTCCTTTCTCAGCACCACAGAAACAGACTTTTCCCACTGACCTTCTAAGTTGTCTTTGGTATTGGTGGATTGAGGAGTCTGGAAACCTCCACAGCTGCCCACGATTCAGTCCTCTGAGGCCTGCTCCAGGTTTGCTGCAGCCTGCGCGCCCATGCTGCGGCCTGTGCACCCATGCCACGCTGCGCTCCCAGCCCGGCGTGACACACCTTTCTGATCAATCATCCACCTTATCTTGGGCTGGAAAGTTGTTTCACTCTGTCTTTTTGTGGGTTCTGCTGCTTCAGAATTTGTTTAGAGCCATTTTTTATGAGTGTTTGGAGGGGTTTGGAGGAGAGCTCAAGCAAGTCACTGCTTTCACTCCGCCATCTTGGCTCCGCCTACTCTGTTTTTTCTTAACAAACATCTTTTCTATCCACTCCATCCTTTCCTCCAACACCAGTGCTGGCCCAGTGAGGTCCTCATCACTTTACACCTGGACTATAGCAATAGCTATCGATTGATTGTCTCATCTCTCCCCATGCCAGTCCATTAGCTGTCCAATAATCTTCCTAAAATACAGGGCAGGCTGTTACCACCCCTTGCCTGGAACTCTCTCCTTCTCCTGGCTTCTTCCAGGTATCAGCTCAAGCCCCACCTCCTACAAGACTTTCCTAGTCCTCTTGAACCTTAGCGCCTTCCTTCTGTGATAATCTCTGATTTATCACATACATAGACATCTGTCTATCTACGTATAATTGCTCTTGTTTGTACATACACAGTAGGCTGCCTGTTGAGTCACCCATTAGACTATGAGCTTGTGCAGGAATCATGGCTATTTTTACCTCTTTTTATCCTCAGGACTCCACCGAGTGCCTGGCAGACAAGCTCTTCACCTCGAAGACCCAAACTGAGGAAGTCAGGTTGCCAGGGCCCAACTGTGCCTTCCCACCTTTCCAATTCAAACAGTAACTCCTTTTGCCCACAAAGTTAGAATCACACAAAGACAACTCAGCAGCAAAGTTCCCTTTTATTATGTATTGTTCTGTCATTAAAAATCACAGATGGGGGTGAGGCAGAGTGAGAACATTGGGTGGCGAGAACCAGAGTCCGTCCTTTTTTCTGGCTTCACACACCTAATCTGGGGTTGGAACCCACTCACAAAAACTGCCCTATCCTCATCTCAACTCTCTCTAAAGGGGCAGACACTGCCAGATGATATTCAACACTGGAGTGGCTAGAACAGACAGGTTAGAAGATAAAAGCCCGGACCGTGGCAAAAAGCTGGGCCTGTATTACCGGTTGGGGGAAGGGGGAAACAATGGGGAGACCCGGCTTGTTACCTAACCCTGGCTTCCCACACAACTGAACCTGCAAGGTCTTGGTTGCTTATGTGGGAAGAAGGAGGAACAGGTCCCTGGCTGGACCTTCAAGGACACAGTATCCTTGGGCGAAAGAAGCCTACTTCCTATAAACCAGAGGCTCCTTCTGGATCCATCAACATGGAAAAACCAATTGGTGAGCTGGAGAGCTTTGGGATACTATCTGTGAGTGACCTCTCCACTTCCTAAGGGTGGAAGTCTTGATCTGGAAGAAGCAGGATGGCAGACGTATAGCTCCAGTTTATTATCCTTGGTCTTCCTGAGATTGTCCAAAGTGAGTCGGGGCTGCCAAGGGGCCCCAAAGCCACATGGCTTAATGCAGGATGGTTACTGACAAAGACAGAGAAATGGATAGCATGGGCTGACAAATGGAAAGCCTTAAAATTCTATCATTTTCTGCCTGGTCCTGACTCTCTGGGGACCTCCTCCTCCATCTCTCACCCCAAAAGAATGAAATACAATGTTCTCAACACCATCACCTCCTGATTATGTCACGGGGGATGCCAGACCAAGATCTGTTTGCCAAGGGGGCTTCATGGAGGGCAGGGCAGTGGCTCAAAAGCTAATGATTGCCCCTTTTCCTCAGGTACAAGGGAACAGGAAATCAAATGAGTAAAGGAAAAGGAGGCATAGCACAGGAAGTATTATCACTAGGCACAGAAAATCATGACTGTCTTGTAATCTGCTGGGCTACAGAAAGATGAGGTCCAATCCTCTCCTGTCCTCAGTGTTACAGTTTCCATTAACAGTCGAATGCCAGGTGGGTCTTTCCCACCCAGGAACTGCACTCACCCTTAAATGAAAGAATGGCAAATGGAAGTGTGGACAGAGAACAGCAAACACTGGCTGGGAGTTTCTGAGAACACTCAAAGGAGACAAAACAGCCATCTTGCCATCCTCTCCTCCTTCCCATTCTTAAAGGAGGTGCCAATTTAGAATTAGAGAGGGAAGAGAATTCCTAATCTGGAGGTAACAGATGGATACATGAAGCACCATAACACGTTGGCTTCCCCTTACAGATAGGGAAGCCCAATAGTCTCTGTAAACATTAGACTTAGTGAGATTCTGGGGCCAGATGAGACTGAGAAGGCTGGCCAAGCCCCACTGGAATGTGGTAAGATGGAGGGACCTTAGGGGCCATGGAATAGTGGTCTTTGTTCTTCCCTGGTCCCAGCCAACACGATGCTGGGAGGAAGAGACGAGGTTCCAAATGGCTCTGGGTATAACTGATGATTAGCGAAAGGACATTTACCAAAACAGAATGGGACTAAATGGGGTCAAGGAAGCCTGGCATCTGGCAACACAGCTGGCTTGGGTCTGATCCCTGCCCTTTGCTGGCCACAGCTTGCTCACTCGTGCTCTCTGGGCAGGGAAAGAACCTCCATTTTGTGGTGGTCATTGGCATGACTCTGGAAACCCACCATGTTTGAGCTACTGTATTCACATCTAAACTGCACACTTGAAGTCACGAGTGGCTTTGGTCATTGCATTTAAGTGTCCCCTGCATGAAGGCCTCCCCAGAAATGCAAAGTTTTGCTCCCTGCCCGAGGCCAACCTTCTGCAGAAAGTGTTTTGCAGCAGAGGAAGGATTTTCTCCTCACTCAACTGAGACTAGGTTCTCTCTTCTGAGCTTCTCCTGCTCCTCTCTACCAACGGGTAAAAGAAACGGGGTTTTAATTTTGGATAGGAAGACAGCAGGAGAGCCTTGGGAAGATTCAGTGGTGGGAGAGGATTCTTTCCCACCATCCACAGCACTGCTGGTGACCAGGGAAATCCCTGGGCCTGTCCTCTGACCAGAAGAGCCCCTTGTAAGGAAGCTCCACCTCTCTGCCTCATGAGGGCACTGACGATGGGACATGATTAAATAAGACGCAATATGGTGTGGTCCCCCCGACAACAGCCAGAGGCTGGTCCATGGATACGGTTCCTCGAGGTCTCAACAGAAAAGGCCACTTTTTCCCGTTGGCTGTCCAGTCCCAAATGGAGAGATTAGGCCGCGAGATTCATGAAGATGGCATTGGTTGTGGTTTGGCCAAAGATGAAGGCTCCGAGGGTGACCAAGAGGACACCGTAACTGACTAGCGCCCACCAGCTGTAAACAGACAAGAGGGGAAAGGACTCCGTCATCTGGCCCTCCCAGATGGGCCTAGATGGAAAATACTTCCCCTCTGTATTCCTTCCGTCATCTTCACCCTCGTACTCTTTGAAGCGCTTAATGTTATTCCAAAGTGCAAAAGGACAAGTAATATCTCCATTCGATGGGTTAGGAAGCCAGGCTCCAGGAGGTAAGTGACTTTGGGCAGAGCTGGGCTTGCACCCCTGGCTTCCTCCTCCCTTCCCACTACCCCAGGTTACATCTCCCAAAGGGCCCTCAGGACAAGGAATCGTGAGATAACACGGAGCTTTACCTGCTTGGCTTGACTTCTTCAATTTCAGAAAGTTTGGCCTGAATGAGGCACAGTCCTAGGAGAAACCAAACCTTTGGTCAACGAACTGGCCAGCTCGAGCCAAGCAAGGGCTGGCCAAGAGGCTAGCTCCTTTCTTCATTGATTCCCTTCTCTGACCACACCATGCCCCCGACACACACACACACACACACACACACACACACACACACACCACACACACACACACACACGCACTTCAGTAAGTCCGAAATCATGACTCAGGGGAAGGGAGAGCTCAAAATGTTTCCCCTTCCCAAGACTAAGACATCTGCTGCTGCTCCTTCCAATTCCAAGGAGTGGCCAGTGCAATCTGTCTGTGCTCCTGAGCAATGGGGATTTTTAACTCTGGAGACTAAAGAGGAGGGGAAGAGAGGAGCGTTCCCAGTCAGTGACACATAGGCGGACTCTGGATGCGTGGCAGAGGGTGGCGGTAGGGCCGCCCATACCTGGGAAGACGAAGATGAAGCAGGCAGCAAGGCCACCGATGATGGAAATGACTTTCCCAATGTCTGGGATGAAGAGGGCCAGGAGCAGGGTCAGTAAGAACCAGGTGACTGTCTGCAGCACTCGGCGTCGCCTCTCCCTGGCCACGTCTTCCTCCACCGTCTCACCCTTGTAGCGTAGCCATAAGCCTTCCAGGACTGCCCTGTGCATAAGCTCACATATTAGGACGGGGGTGCGCAGGGGACGCCAGACTTCCCAAGATCAGTGTAGCCTGAGGGGAAGAAAGTCTGGCCATGCCCCGGAGTTTCCCAAAATGAAGCAGATGGGAGGCTGGACATACATACAAAGCACACGTAGTCAAGTTCAGGAAAAGATGGGAAGTAGAGCAAAGGGGGAATGGGGGCAGGGGTGGGACGGCCAAACTCTGTACAGGGAGACCTACCACCCCCAGGACACACTCCTCTGGGGCATGGAAACATCCCCTCCTTGGGCAGAGGCATCACTCGGCTAGACACAAAGCCCCCTCCCCACTGCTGGCACTGCCCGCCCCAGGCAGAGGGCCTCACCGTCCACAGAAATGCAGAATGGGGTAGGAGGTCAGCACACTGATGATGATGAAGACACGGGCGATGGCAACAAGTATATCATCCGAGGGGTAGGAGAGGAGCACGTCGGGGTTCACACTGACCCCGAAGGTTAGGAAGCCACAGATGCCTGAGGGGTCCAAAGGGTAGAAGAAAGTACAGCAGTTGGGTCACGGTGGGAAAGGCAGATGAAAATGGTAAGTAAGGCTCTTGGGAGGAGGGGAAAGAATCTTTCCAATCTATCTGGCCCAGGAAACAAAAGAGTTGTTGGGAATGGGTCTGAGGAGGTAAGGACAAGGTTGGGGGTCTGTAATCACTTGGATTTTCTCTTCTTAGAGACAGTTCTAGGACAGAGGGAGGAGAGAGGTCATGGGTGCTTGAGTTCTAGCTACTTCTAGCAGGACCTGCTGAGAAGGCAGAAGGCATCAGGCCCTGAGAATTGCCCAGCTCTGCCCAAGAAGGGGTGATGATGGCACAGGAAGAGCCCTGGCCATCGGGTCCATCCTTGGCCCTTTCCCCGACTAGAGAGAACTCTCCACCCCACCTCATCTTGGCCAAGAGGGTGCTCTGCCTTACCTGTGCCCATGTAGACACAGAGGGCTATGACCATGGCTGCTGTCACCACCCCACCCCAGGTCTGCACCTTGGGCTGCTGCATGCTGTTGAAGACAGGCACGCTGCTCACATGGCACTGCCAAAGAGAAGAGCCAGGCTGGTGGGTTACAAAGCGCTGCCTGCCTGTTGGCCCCCCGCCCCATGAAATGGATGATCACAGCTATCATGAGCCCCATTTTATAGCTAGTACCTGGAATCCAAAGCAGATCGTGGGCATGGCATTGAACACGGCCATCCAGGAGGTCGGCCTGCAAGGAGAGCAGCCACATGTGGGCTCAAGATGAGGGGCAGGCCAGACCGGAGGGGGCCCCCCTGCCCGGGCTCCGAAGCAAGGCCCCTCCACTCTTGCACGAGTTCAGATCTCAGCTGCTCCAGAGCTGGAGACCAAGCCCAACCAGGGCCCTCTGTCTAGCCCCTCAACTCTGCCTTAGCTCTGCTCTGGAAATGGAAAGACACTGACACACTGTCATTCTAATATCAACGTGTAATGTGAAATGTGAAAGGCTTTCTGATGGTTTTTAGATGGGGCCTTTCACATAAAATGTTTTATTCATTGTTGCAGATGTAGTAACCAAGAAGACAGCAGAGAGGATAAAAATGTGTAAAATGAGGAGCGTTATTACAGGCTCTACGTAGGCTTTAGAGAAGCCAGATTTGGAAAAGTATAGGCTACATTGGAATCAATATGCCTCTTGCTAAGCCACCTTCCGTAGCCCAAATGAAATGACTTTCTCATAATATGGTAACAGTCCCCCATGGTAGAGAGCTTCATACTTTTTAAAGTGATTCCACACCCATTTTCTCACTTAATCTTCACAGAGAAAAATGAGGTATCTCTACCTCTGTTTTACAGATGAGAAAGCGGAGGGTCTGAGAAACAATGAGACTTGCCAGGACAGTCCCCGACCTCCCCCCCCAAGCTAGTTTTCTTCCTACTGTACTGTGTGTCTTCTACTACACTGTCTGCTGCTCCCAGTGGACCCTGGGGGGAATCAAGTGAAACTGGCCACCCTGAAGTCACTTCCGACCTAGGTAGAACGCAACGATCACACGTATAGCTCTAGGCTGGTAGGCAGGAGCCCCAGGTTCTATCTTCATCTAGTTCTGTTGATGTTGCTGGCCAAGCTTCATTCTGGGTCTCAATTAGCTCACCTGTAAAGTGGGGATGGGCAGCTAGGTGGTGCATCGAATAGAGTGCCAGGCTTGCAGTCAAGAAGACCTGAGTTCAAATACGACCTCAGACACTTACTAGCTGTGTGATTGTGGGCAAGTCACTTAACCCCACTTGCCTCAGTTTCCTCATCTGTAAAATGAGCTGGAGAAGGAAATGGGAAACCACTGCCATATTTCTGCCAAGAAAATCCCAAATGGAGTCATAAAAAGTCAGACTCAATGGAAAACCAATAAAAGCAGGATATTCCTCCTCGTTTATCTTTACAAGGACCAATGAGGTAGCTATGTACAAAGCACTCTCCTTAGCAGGAAGGGCCCAGGATCAATACAAGAAATTCAGTTAGTAGAACCATCAAAAGGAATATACTTGTGATCCCTGCAAGGAGGTCACATGGAAGAAGACTGCTTTTTCTCTGCAAGTGGGGCAAACATTGCCTTAGTCCTCATTAGAGTACCCAGCACCGAGCTGAACTGAGGCCTACCAGTTAGTCGTGCCCAATGGAATGGCTTGCTCCAGGAGAAAGAGGCCTCCCTGACAAAGAGGGGATTCATGCCTCAGGGTGGACTCTGAGGCCCCTTCCAACCCTGTGACCAAATCTGAGATGCTGTGATCTGAAGCAGAAGGACCTGAAGAAACCAAAGGTCTCTGTGGAATGGCTCCTTAACTAAAACCTGTCACCTACCTGGTGGGTATATCCCCAGGGGACATCTCCTTGTCTGGCCAGATGTATTTGATAACAATGATGGCTGTGACATACCAGGTGCCCAAGACACTCAGGGAGCTGCCAGGGAGGAAAGAATTGGGTTTTGGTGAGCAACGGTCATGCCTACCCCACCCCCAGCTGCATCCTCCTGTCCCCGTCCAGGGATGAGTCAGTCAGTCTCCGCTTAAGAACCCAGAAGCTCTAGAGATTTTACTTGGAGTCGTGACACCCCTGCCCCGACTCCCTCACTCTCTCCAGCCTTTGGATAAAACCAAAATGAACATATACAGCTAGACGTCCAGCGTGTCAAGAAAACGCCATTACTGAGGTGGAGGGAAGTTAGTGACCACCGATAGAGGGCAGATTCCTCTAATACAGGGCAGAGCTTTGTCTGAGAGGGTGTGAAGGAGACAGGACCTGGGACCAGAGAACAAAGCTTACTGACTCCATTTAAGCTGGCACAAGGCCAGGAAGAAGCTGGGAACAGGGTCTCCTACCAGGCCAGGAATAACACAACCCCTCTTATGGGAGGGAGACATTTGGGGGAGAAGGGACTTAGAGACTTGGAGACTGACTCTTGGGTGGGCCCGAAGAGATTTACCAAGTTCTGAGACAAGGATTGTGACTGACCAGTGTGTGATTTTATACCTTCCCAATTCTCTTTAGCCTTTGGGTCCCACTCCCAGAAAGTGAGTAGGCCAGGAGGAAGGAGGAGGAAGAACCTAAGAGCACATGGGCCTCAGAGGGAAGATGCCTACTATCCCTGAGCCCTCCGGACCCACAGCATTCCCTCGACCTTGAGGACAGGAATAACTCCCACCTGGCATACTTCTGGAAGCCGATCTCCCTGGGGATGGAGAGGGGAAGGATGAATAAAAGGCAGTGAGGCTGATGGTGAATTTTCGGTCCGTGTACCAGTGGTTGCTGCCTGCCTCCTCTGACTCCTTCACCAACACAGCAATAACTGCAGGGAGAGCCAGGAGAGGGATGTCAGTGGAGCCGTGGGCCCATCCGCAGTGACTTCTCCTCCCTCCCGTGGACTCATTGTGTCTCCCTCCCTTTCCTCCATGTCTGTTTTCTATTCCATGTAACAGACTTTGCACTTCTGATGTTATGGCTGGAGGGAAGCCTGATTTGGTCCATACCCTGGGCCATCCCAGCCTGATTACAGACAGTGACAGGAATTCCCCCAACCAGAGGCAGCCCCCCGGGAGATGGGGGGGGCTTACTTTTGTCTTGCTGGTCCCCAATGATGATGAGAAAGGCAATGCAGGTGCCAAAAGTGTACACCGCAATGGCAACCTCGCACAGAACCCCGGTCAGTTTGCCACATACCGCCCACACCACCTCCTGGTAGGTGCGCTCGTTACTGGCCTGGGAGCAATATGCCAGGATGACCAGTCCACTGATGATGAAGACCAACATGCCCTGCAGCAGAAAGAGGGGCACACGCCGCAGAGGTTTGGGAGGGGATGCCAAAAGACGCGGAAGCAGCTGCTGCCGAGGAAAGTCAGGCCAAAGCACCCATCCCCCTCCCTCACCGGGCAGTCTAGTGTGCCCTGCCACTGCACACAGCCCGAAGCCCTCCCCTCCTTTGAAACCAAGGGGTCTGCTCCACCTCCCCGGCCCCAGGGAGCCCCGCCTCACTCACAATCTGCAGCGCAACGCCAGCCGCTACCCCGCCAGCTGTGCTGAAGGCGGCAGGGAAGTTCAGCAGGCCGGCACCCAGGCAGGCATTCACCACGATAAAGACGGCTCCCAGCGTGGAGGTGGTCGCCCCGTTCGTGGCTCCCAGTTCCTCCTCCTCCCCTTTGGGCTCCATCCACGATGGGGCTCTGTAGGAGGCGGGCTCGCTCTCCGGCATCTGAACTCCAACCCCAATCACCATAGTCACTGTTGATGACCATGCCGGTCTGAGCCATGGCCACATGGGCTCCCTGCCCTGGCTGCTTGTCTCTGACGCTCACTCACCACCCCACTTCCCAGCCAGCCATGACAGAAACAAGTGTCTAGTCAGCGGTCAGGCTTAGCATGACCAGGGGCTCATCACTCTGGGAATGGCTCTGTGGGGCCCTAAAACAAGACACAGAAAACCAGCATTACCCTTCGATCCACCAATACCTCTCCTAAGCCCATGCTCCACTAGGGATCAAAGAAAGCAGAAAAGGAATCACGACTACAAATATTCATAGCAGCTCTTTTTAGAACGGCAAAGGGTTGAGAGCTAAGGGGAGTCCATCAGGTGGGGAATGGCTGAACAAATTAAGGTAGATGAATGTCACAAGAAATGACAAAAGAGGGGCAGCTAGGTGGTGCAGTAGATAGAGCTGCAGCCTTGGAGTCCGGAGGACTTACATACAAATCTGGCCTTGACACTTACTAGCTGCGTGATCCTGGGCCAGTCACTTAAACCAGATTGCCTCACCAAAAAAAAAAATGACAAAAGAGAAATCTACGAACGTTTGCATGAACTGATGCATAATGAAGGGAGCAGAACTAGAATAATTTATGTGATAATAACAACACTGAAGAGATAAACAACTTTGAAAGACTCAAGAACTGTGATTGATGTAATTAATGGCCAACAGAGGCCCCATGATGAAGCCACAAGCCACTTCCTGAGAGGGGGATAAGACTCAAGGTGCAGGAAGTACATTTTTGGACAAGGCCACTGGGGGAATCTGTTTTGCTGGAGTAGGCATATTTGTTATGAGGGTTTGCATTTTCTTTTTGTCAACACGGGAGGAGGCGGAAGGAAGAGAAAATTAATGCTTATTAACTGATAATAAATTTAAGCCATAAAAAAAGCAGGATTAAATCAGAGAAACAAGGAGATAAGTAATGGGGTGTGGCCAAGGGTGTGGCCTGTCTTGGAGGACAGTCATGGACTCTCAGAGCTGGAAGGGACTGGAAGTCATTTAGTACAACTCACACCTTCACCAGAATTCTAGCTACAAAAAAACAGCCCAGATGTGGAGAAAACCCCGGCTCCTGGGGGCGGCCCACTCCACTTCTGGACTGCCCTAATTGCTGGGAAGTTTTTCAAGCCTAAATTCGCTCCTTTGTGACTTCTCCCCACAGTTACAGGCTCTGTTCTCTGGGGACAAGCATTCCTGGGGATGCTTTTTAATACCTGAAGATAGTCACCATATCCTCCCCACCAGGTTAAAGGCCTGAACTGGACAAACTCACTGAAATGCTAGTTTCAGCTGATGGACAGAGGCCCAGGCTTGGAGTCAGGAAGACTTGAGTTCAAATGCTGTCTCAGATAGGACCTACCTGTGTGACTCTGGTTGCCTGGAAAACTACTTCAGCAATCTGGTGGCAGTGATCTGTTGTGTTCACGTTCTCTCTCTCTCTCTCTCTCTCTCTGTCCTCACAACCTACATCCCTCTCCCCCTGCAGCTCATAAGGAACGTAATCAGAATTTGTCACTGTAACTGGCTATTCCTCAAAGCAGCGGAGCTCAGAACAGCTGCATGAAACCCAGCGCCAGCCACAAGCTTTTCCCTTTCCTCCTGATAACATGCCACAAGGAAAGGCCAAGCGGCTCAGACATCCTTTAGAAGGTGAATGGAAGAAAACATGAACTGGTCAGGCTGCTTCTACATCTAAAGAGCCACAAAACCCGATGCCTGGAGAACATCTCAACGTCCCCAAATCAAAAATGGGTGATCTGGATCAGGTAGGCTTCCTCTTAGACAATCTGAAATCTGGAGGGGTCAATAACTGAGCAAAGGTCAAAACTGCACCAACACCCAGACTACAGAGCACGCTGGGAAAAGCTCCAGCAGAGAAACTTCATTTGCTTGACCATGCATAACTACGATGTTGGGTTGTTTTTAAAGGGGTGGGGGGAGGGTGGGAGAGAAAAAAGGTTTTTTTAGTTGAAAAATGTACCATAAAAATTTGCCAAGCTCCCAGCACATGGGGATTCTTGGGCCCTAGCTTCTGCTCCAAAGACTTCCTTCCCTTTGCTGGCCAGATGTCTCAGGGTGGGGGTTACGACTCCTCAAACTCTTGGCTCTGCTTTAAGCAGTAATGAGGATACTGGTGACTCAGGTCACATGCTCAAGTAAGGGGGTGAAAGGGCACCGTCCAGCCCTTCCTTAGCAAACTGCCCCGCACGAACGACCCCACTCCTCCGCGGCTTCCCCCTCGCTGTTACCTAGGGCAGGTGAGCAGGTGGTTTCTTCTTTCTCACAGCTTCCCTCCCGTGGCCTCCTCCCTTCCGTTCTGGGGACGCAGGGGTTCAAGTGCGGCACCTGGAGTTGGGAAGATCCGAGTTCACATACTGCCTCTTATCCTGGGCAAGTCATTTAAACCCGCCTGCCTCAGTTTTCTTAGCTGTACAATGGGGGTGGGGGTGAGGGTGAACCCGATGACTTCGGAGGTTCCTCTCAGCTCTGAGCTTGTGGCTCAGGGCCCCCCAAGCCTTCGAGGGGCGCCCCTCCCCAGACCTCCCCCTCTTAGGGATGCGGGGGGTGGGGGTTGGGGAATGGGGCCGAGGCAGCCTGTGGAGGGCGAGGCAGGATGCAAAATCCCCTCCAGGAGGACAGGAGCCGTGGGTTCGAATCCAGCCTCTGCCACTGACTCGCACACGAAGGTAACTCCTCTTCCCATCCCCGGGCCTCAGTTTCCCCATCTGTAAATGACCCAACTGGCCCCCGACAAGGCTCGGGGTCCGCGGAGGGCCCCGGATGCCGAGGCCAGGGAACCTCCGGGTCCCAGGAGACAGGGAGGGGGCCGAGGCCTCTCCCCAGGCTCAGCCCACGCAGCCCCCCCCACCCACCGCGGGCTCACCACAGGCTGCTCCGACGACTCGCGATGCTGGGCTCCTCGCCTCCAGCTGCGGAGCCAGCTGACTCGCCGGTCACGTGAGCGCGGACTTCCGCGCTAGGCACGCTGGGAGGTGTAGTCCGCCCCCCCTCTTCGCCCGCGCCCCGAGAGGCCGGCTCCCTGTGCGGGCTGTTCTGAGAGGCGCCGCCTTTTAGCCTGGCCTTTGGCAGCCTCGGAGAAGGTGCAGGCAGGACATTTCCCCCCGTGTCACTGACCTGCCCTAGAACATAAGGGGCTTCCGCTAACTGATCCTGGCACATCGTCAGCAAGCATTTATTAAGCGCCATCCAAGCCAGTTCCACAGATTTAGGGCTGGAAAGGACCTTCGAGTTCATGGGGTCCAGCCCTCCCATTTTGCGGGCGGGGAAACAGGCACCAAGAGATCCTAGGATCACATTTAGGGCTGGAAGGGACCTCAGAGACCAGCCCCTTCGTTTTACAGATGAGGAAACTGAGGCACGCCCAGGCCAGGCACCTCAAAGGCAGCCGGCTGACACTGGACAAGGGACAAGGGGTCAAGAAGAGGAGTCCTCCCTCGTCTCTGCACTTCCTAGCCGTGTGATCTTGTCTAAGTTAACCTAATCTCTCACTGTCATCTTTTAAGATAGCGGTAATCATAGGACCGGGTTGTTGTGAGGAGCAAAGGAGATAGCGTTTGTAAAATGCTTTGCAAACCTTAATGCATTCTGTGAATGCTCGCTTTTCAGCACTGGCTGAAAAGTAGAGGAAAAGTCCAGAGAGGGGCATGCCCAATGCCACACGGGTGCAGTGGCTGGGATTTGAATCTAAGCTCTCTGATTCCACCTCCAGTGGCTTTTGATTAGCACCCAATGGGATATTTTAACATAAAAGAACCCAGTGAAATGAGGTTCATATGTCAGAATCTACTGACTCCTGCAAAGTCTCCTGGTGCTTCCCAATCCCCCAGGGTCAGCCCCTTAAATCTGGTAAGTTTTGCCTCTGTACATTTAATAATGCGCCTGAATGAATGTCTGGTGTCTTTGTGTGTCCACACACACATATATATTAGGGTTAATGAAGCTTCTTATGGGCTGATACATCTTTGAAAACTAGATTGCAGTTTCAGCTGGTGCACCTAGCAGCTCACCACTGGTAGCCTGCATTTCGCATCGATGACATCCTGGCAGGTGGTGCTGATTTGACACCAGCTCTTCACTAATCTCCATCAATCAAAAATGTGTGACTTTGGGGAAAAAACATTTTCTTTTTGGCCCCATAGGCCAGCCCTGCCCTTGCAGAGGATTAGTGGAGGCACAGAGAAGGGCTCTGCTGGCATATTGCATCATCCTTCAGAATACAAAGTCCTGGGCAGAGAGGACTTTGTACTGGCTCGTTTCTTGTCGTTGCTGCTGTTTCCACTGTGTTTGGCACCTGATGACAGTTACTGGCTCTTTCTTGTTACGTCCCCCCTAATGGGCTTCTGCTTTTCCCTGGGTGGATCTCTATGGTGTAATTTTGGACCTGGGAACAGCCCTTGACTTGGTGGGAAGAGTCAATAGAGACCAAGACGATTAATTCAGTGGCTGGATATTATGATGTAATAACATTGATAACATATCAAAGAGTGCATCAAAACTTTAAAAATCTCATGACTAATCATCATTCTTAATATAAGCAAAACTAGATATGCAAAATAACTTACATTCCATTTTACAGATGAGAAAACTGAGGCTTAGAGAGTTCACATGGATGAACCGCTATGTCCAATGAGGCAGAGTCAAACCCAAGTCCTAGGTCTGATAAGTTAGCATTCTTTCCTTTGGACTGTACTGCCTCAATCGCTTTTTTTTTTTCTGGGCAAACTGAAACCTGTAGCAAAAGTTAGCCAGTCTAGGGGGCAGTTAGATGGCTCAGTGGATAGAGCTCTGACCTTGGAGTCAGGAGGACCTGAGTTCAAATGTAGCCTCAGACACTTGACACTTACTAGCTGTGTGATCCTAGGCAAGTCACTTGACCCTGATTGCTGCAAGGAAAAAAAAAAGTTAGCCAGTCTTTTGGGTCTGTAAAGAGCCAGCTGCAGTGGAGCAGAAAGAACACTCAACACTCTAATTCCAGGACCAGCCCAAGTACTTATGGTGCAAAGCTCGTTATTTTGGCCTTAGTTTCTTCCTCCACAATAAGGAGGTTGGACCAGCAGATCTTTGATACTGTGTTATCTATGAAAGATGGTATGACAGATATTTATGTTTGTTTCTTATCTTGAGATTCCCTGAGGGCAAGGGCCCTCTTGTTTGAGTATTATGTAGTGATTATTTCTCTGGCTTCACTCTTTTAAAATGAATTTTTCCCTCCAGGATCTAGAGGTACCTTGAGTGTTTTGAGGGGTGTCACTTCTCTAATGTCATTGGGTTGAGTGCTCACTAGTTTTGTTACCCCGCTGCTAGATACCAGGGACTAGCACCCCATTTCCTTTTTTTAAATAGTATTTTATTTTTTCCAATTATGTGTATACAAAGACAATTTTTAACATTCATTAAAAAAAATTGAGTTCCAAATTTTCTCCCTCCCTCCTCTTCCTCCTCTCTAAAATGATAAGCAATTTGACATCATTTATATATTAGCACCCCATTTCCATTTGACCACTTAACATAAATAAGCATCTACAAAGGGATATTTATTTTGAAGATGTAGCAATGATACAAGTACAAACATTTCTCTTACCTCCAACACCTTCTGTATACTCTCTCCCCTATCCTGCCTTGGTCTGTGGAGAGAGTAGGCTCAAATTTAGCTCAGTTCCTACATAGCATTGGACTCACTAAGTTCACATCCAGATGTGGCTTGACTGCTAAATGAGTACCCATCTCAGCCACTGCTAGGCTGGGTCCTGAATGTTACTTCTGAAGGTCATTCTTTGTTTCTCACTCGGTTCATGCTGGCCTAGGTGCAAAATCTGGATTCTAGGATGCCTGGATGCTCACTCATGTGGCTTTTTCCAAATTCACTGGGTGGAGTCTCTAATCCCTTCACCTGAAACAGAAGAGAGCAAACTCAGAGGCAAAATGAAGAAGGCCCATTTCACAGTGCCACATGGCAGCCCTGGTGGGCTAGACTGAAGGCCTCTCCTGGCATGGCAACTTTCCTAGGATGCGGCCAGCTGCCAAGGAGTCAAACCAAAGTCGGAAGCCAAACAGAAGCCGATATGCTGGTTGCTTGTGTCTTTCTGAGGGCACCCTCATTTCCAGCTATGCGGTCGATAGAAGAGGCTTCTGCAAACTACGTGGAGGGAAACCAGGTAACAGAATGTCTCCACATACTCAAGTTCTTTCAAGGCACTTTCATTACAGGTGATCAGGACTCTCCTGAAAACAGGCTCCTCAGACTCTTCACATGGAGAGACAAGGGACATTGGAGGTGCTCTTTCAATATTCTGGTCCCTAATGCAGTCACATGGTTTGGAATTTTAGCACTTTGCTTTTTCTCCCTAAAGGGCAGTTAATTTCCTTAATCATTTTAATTGTACTTTCCTGAGCCCTCCTAAGGTCTCTGAGTGACTTCCAATATTGGAAGTTTCATTCAGCTGGAATTTTGTCAAGTGCAAGAATGAATGAGTGAATGAAAAAAGCAAAAAACCCCCCCCAAAACCAAAACATACTTACTGTGTGTTAGACCCGTCAGTTACCCTTAACCTTGTTTAGCCTGTCTGCAGAAATGGTTTTATTAGGATGCCGCTGGTGTGGATGCTACCGCTTCTTGGAGCCCCGGGTGAGAGTTGAGTGCCAGGGAGACACTAAAAGTGGATGAGCAGCTCTGAAAAAATGCTCAGTAAGCCCTCACACCAGAGGTGCTAGTCCTGCTTGAACACCCCATACACCCCTAAAACCTGTCGATGAGTTGGGGGGTGTCTACCACAAGCATGTGAAAGTTTCCCACCGTGGAATGGGTGGATGAGAACAATTTGTTCCAATGGCCATGAAGGCGGCTGATGCAAGTCTGTGGAATGATTAGAGCCTGGTCAGACATCGAAGATGCCCGGTCACCCACTGCATCCCAGGCCATCACCAGTCATCTTGGTTTTTGTTTTACCATTGGACTTTGATGACTGGAAGAGAGAGAGGCTGGTGACTTTGTGCAACTCTGCCCCACTTAAATCCAATTCACAGGCAAGTCAAGACATCATCTGTGATGTCACCAGTCCTGTCTGAAAATGAAGGACAAACAATAATGTGTTAGACACTTTGCTAATGGCAGAGATTCAAATACGAGCCCCTGCCCTCAATCAACTTACATTCTAATAAGAAAAGACAACTTATGTAGGGGAGCAATGGCTAGGGAAGGAAATTTTGGTTTGTTTGGAAAGATACAAGAATATCTGTAGATGCAAATAAATTGACGTGCCATATAAAAAACTGATTATGGCTTGAGAATTTGGGGTGGGTAAAGAGGGGAGATGGTGGCTTGTAAGGCAAAATCTAGAAAATTAAGTGAAGCATGATGGAAGCCTGGGCTGGACATAATGAAAAACCAAGACAACCACATCAGGAGTCCCAGGGTTGGGGGGGTTTGGGGCATGAAAGGATCAAATCATCCAGGGCTTAGTTCAGGGAATGGAGACTGGTAAGAAGTCTCAGATTTGAAGGAAACCCTCATCTTGGCATGGATATAACCTTGGCTTCCCAAATGCCACGCCAGTAGAACTTAATCTGTGTCAGAGCCTGTCTATCAAGCTGGAAAGACTGAGGATAGACCCAGTGATGTCCCTGAAGATCAACCTAGCTGAGCATAAAGTAGCTTCTTACCTGTTTTACTAGATTGTGATGGGACTTGGGGCCATAATGAAGACAATATAACAAGCAGTGGAGGAATTGTGATCTCTCTGGAAGAACTGATGAAACCAACTTGATAAAGTCACAGATCCTTGATATATTGAAATAACTTGAAAGGTTGAGCGTGGAATGATAATCAGCACATCGATTGAGATCTTTCTGTCTAGCTGAGAGTCCTTGTCTCTCAGGAAACAAGTTCAGTTGAATTCAACAAACATTTACTAAATGCTTGCTTCAAGTAAGGCACTATGCTA